CAAAATACTTCAATAACACATGACGCATGCATACACACACACACACAACACTTCCAGCAGCATCTACAAAGCTACATGCATGCCAGTAATTTCTTCAAGCAAACGTTACGACATAATGACACCAAGTAAAATTAATTAATTACGAATTCATGTGATGAAGTTTTGATGTAAATGATTAAAACAGCATGAAAACGGGGACATATTTGTACACATTCCCCTACAAACCAACAACCTAAGAGCAGCACCATAACATTAACACTTAATACAAAGATTATATAAAGCCGCCGCAAAGAGCATTTTGACAGCACACACTATTTACAGAGCCTGCGGTTTAACAAACTGTTGGGTTTTTTTCTTTCATAAACACTACGCTTCAGCTGAGAAACTGAAACTCCCAAACATTACGCCATACACTTCGCAATAAAAATTCAACAATGATAAAAAATTACAGCACATCAACCTAAACTACGACAACACAAGTGCACCTTTTTACACAACGCCGTGTCCTTGCACAGGAACACGGCAGGAACATGCGAAACGGTAATTCAAGAGAAATGATAAGAAGAAGTGTCGAATGACACGCCAAAAATGTGTCACTCAGGACGCATTGCGAACAGGACCTACAGACAGTACTGCGCTGCTTTTGCAAAAATACATCATATTACAGAACCAATAAAAGCAGAAGTGAACGAGTCTTGGGCGACGTAAGCCTAGCATTCCCTCCTGAACAAGATGTAAACAACAGGCCGAGCTAAACAAGTGACCCAGCGACTGATTCAAAAAGAGAAAAAAAAGTGTACCCAATTTATTATGCCATACTTCATTAGTCAAGTCATCAAAGTATCGATATACGCCACATGTGTAATAATACAAGTCAATTGGTCGCTTTTAAGCACAAGGGGGCTATCCCGAAAAATGTGTTTCCTGAGGGAGGCCTTGCGCTGCCAAGAGCGAAATGCTCGCAGCTAAAGGGATTTGAAAACAACAACATCCCGAAAAATGCTCACTTGAGAAAATCAAAGGAAGTTTTTGGACCCTTGTTCAGTTTCTTTAAAAGACAAGGAGAGTTTTCTCTATAACCAAACAAAGATACACAGCAATGAATCCAAACTTCTCCTATAGGCAGCGCAATGCCCACTTTTGGTGTTGTCAAGATTTCTGGAAACCCCCGAAATCTTGGTTAGCCCGTTTGTCCTTACAAGCGACAAATTCATCCCAAGTAACGGCAGTGAACGGCCGACCAGGTTAAAACTTTCATTTCACTGCCCACTTTCTCCACCTCACACAAAATCGTTCAACAGAGACCTAGATAAATATACATGAGTAGGGGCTAGGACATCCACACACAACAGATGCTGAGAAACCCACGTGAGCAATCCCTGGTGGGAGGTAAATAAGTCAACTTTAGATCACAGAAGAGGAAAAAAACAATTAACAAAGAAAAATAAAATGACAGCAACGGTGAGCATAAAAAGAATATGAAAAAAAAAAAAAACTACTGATCAGTCTAGGTTAGCCACCACGAGTCTAAGTAGACTTGCCTGGAGAAACGAAAAAGGTTAGAATTTACAATCTTCACTTCATTATTGCAAGGAACCAGTACACCAGTGCTGCACTCTTTCCTCTCTCTCCCTCTCTCTATCTCTGTCTGTCTGTCTGTCTCTCTCTGTCTCACACACATCCCTAAACACACGTATAAATAATAAAATATATCTCTGATGAACTCAGCTATGGTTGGGCTAGTACACGTTTCATCAAAAACTACCAGATCGGTGACAAGGTTTTGAGCAAAATGCAGGATGAGGAGAGCGCAGTATCATTGCTGCTGCTGCTGCTGCTGAAAGGAAGGGCTGAAGAAAGCAAAGGCGTGAGTGTGAGAAGAGAGTCTCGCGCCCCTCAATCACGTGGATATACCTGAGACAAAAGTGGATGGCAAGATGATGACCAGCTGACCAGGCTGCGGGCCAGGTACACGTTGCGACCCAAGTGCTTTCTCGTCCTATCTACATTTTTAATAACAGTGAAAACAGTTCATAACAAAGAGTGAGCTTAAGAAGATGTCATATTTTCACTGTTGTAAAAAATGGAGATACGACAAGAAAGCACCGAGGTCGCGAAGTGTGACCAATGACATTTGTTTCTATCATCACCACCAAACCCACAGGCTTTATTTTTTTTTTAAAAATAAATAAAAGTTCTTCACTTCAAAAGAACATCACTGAAGGCCTTGCACCTTGCAGCCTTAGACAGGAGGCAGAAACAGCTCCCCCCCCCCCCCCCCCCCCCAACCTCAAACCTCTTGCTGCTGCCTCTCACAAAGAAATCATTCTTCGCTCCCTGTCCAGTGGATGACACAGAGAGTCAGCAAAGCCTTTCACAAACTCAACACAAAACAATTCAAGACACTTTGTCTGAAATCTCTTCTTCGACCGTCAAGCACATACAAGCAGAGAAACACCCAAACTGAAACTTACTTAATTACCAACTCGCTTTAGCGGTAACTGTTTAAAAAATCAACACATTGACAACGACAGTCACAATGACTTCATAATACTATTATCTGTCTGCTGTGAGCTAAGCCATATATCGAGTAATAATACAAATGAACAGAGGGAAGGAAACAAATTCACACAAAACTAAAGTTTTCACTTGATTTATCAGAGCCTTCTCAATACGGAACATATTTTGTTCTTTCCTACAGCAGTTAGAACCAAGCACTGTCAGGCTCCACTCCGTTATCACACTGTCTCGCCTGGCTTGTTCTGACAACTTCTCAGAAATGGCGGAGTGAGTGAGAGAGAGAGGCAAGCCAAAGACAGAACACTGGCCACAGATCGACAGATGATGTCACTGTGAAGGTCTGAGATGTGACCGCACAGGTTTGAGAGGCAAGCCACACACAGACAGAGTACTGAACGTACAGGTCTGAGGCGATCAAACACAGACAGACAGAGCACTGAATGCACAGGTGCGAGACGATCAAACACAGACAGACAGAGCACTGAATGTACAGGTGCGAGACGATCAAACACAGACAGACAGAGCACTGAATGTACAGGTGCGAGACAATCAAACACAGACAGACAGAGCACTGAATGTACAGGTGCGAGACGATCAAACACAGACAGACAGAGCACTGAATGTACAGGAGGCTATCAAACACAGACAGACAGAACACTGACCATATAGGTCCCAGGCGATCAAACACAGACAGACAGAGTACTGAACGTACAGGTCTGAGGCGATCATTCACAGACTGACAGAACATTGAATGTACAGGAGGCGATCAAACACAGACAGACAGAGTACTGAACGTACATGTCTGAGGCGATCATACACAGACAGACAGAACACTGAACATACAGGTCCCAGGCGATCAAACACAGACAGACACAAGCAGCAGCGATCGCCTCAGCACAAGCCATCAGATCCAGCCCTGACAGCAGGACAAAACTGTCTCCAATTTCTTGTTTCAGACAGGCCTACAGAAAACAATGTACCAAGATATATTCCACTTTTCGTCCGCATATTATCAAACATTGTGTGTTCATTCGGTTTGTTCATGATGAAATTTACCGTTTACAACAACGATAACAATTGGAAAATGGGAGGCTCGGTTTGAAAACCCAGAGGCAAAAACTGAAACAGTCACAGAACCAAGGAAGCCATGCCGCAAACAGCAACCCCTCGCTCCTCGGGTAGGCAGACTTCTTTACTTTCAACAACTAGACCAAAACTAAAGGCCTTGTATCTCTAGGAAGCCACTGCTAATATTGAAAGCTTGCATATCGGCCAAAAAAAAAAAAAAAAAATCCCTCCAAAATAAAAAAACCCAACAAAACAAGAAAAAACATTTGAACATGTAACAAAGCAACACTAAATCTCAGAAACAGGGCATTGTATCAGAATCACACACTACTCAGTCTTCACACCCTCTCACACTGCTCAGTCCTCACACACTCTCACACACAAGTTTCCATGTCACACACTCTCACACACACAAGTTTCCATGTCACACACAAGTTTCCATGTCACACACTCTCACACACACAAGTTTCCATGTCACACACTCTCACACACACAAGTTTCCATGTCACACACTCTCACACACCAAGTTTCCATGTCAGACGCTGGAGGCCCAACCAGGACCAGCAAGTGTTCTGAAAATGTCGACTCCACTCAAGATTGTGTGTTTCCCAGCACGGAATAACTATGTCGACTCCACTCAAGATTGTGTGTTTCCCAGCACGGAATAACTATGTCGACTCCACTCAAGATTGTGTGTTTCCCAGCACGGAATAACTATGTCGACTCCTCTCAAGACTGGAGTGTTTTACAGCACGGAATACAGCCAATTACCCCAAGACTCCAGCCCTTTGTAGGGAAAAATAGAAAATATCCAATGACGTGATCAATAAACTTTTCACTACCTGTGAACATCACACAAACAAAAACAATATACACACTCTATTCCCAAGTGTAGATGTGGCATGTAAGGGCGTGTAGTAATGTGTACACGCCGTGTTACGTTAACTTGTGGTCATGCATGTGTGTAACATCAGAGCACATTTTCCATATGTCACTGAGTGATTCTCCGTTTTTGTTTTTGTACAGGATGGCACTGACTGGGGGGTGGGGGGTGGTGGTGGTGGTTATTGACATTGGGGGGTGGGAGGGAGAGAAGAAGAGATATTGACAGGTGCACATAATTATTTTGACTGGTGAGATTACAGGTAGAGAGAGACGGGCTGCTCTTGCCTTGCTAGCGGCTGCATTTTGCATTAACATACCAATGATGATTTCAGAAAAAAGAAAAAGATGGGGGGCGAATAAGGCGGATGAAATATATACAAATAATGTATTGTATACATACTATCTCAATATCGTTAAAATGAGAAGGGATCAGTTTTCTTTTGGCGTATTTCAGCAATATCACACAACGCTAGCAGGGCAAGGAAAGAGCAACCAGTTTGCCTCATGACTTTGACCTCCTTGTTCTTGTACTTACAATCTCACGCATTAATTAAGCAAGTTAAAACATACTGAATGTCAGTACGTTCCACACACCTGCACACATGCACACACACACACCCGACAGACATTGGAACAAGGTTTGGAAAAAATATCTTAAATCTAGCACAGGGCCACACTTGCTGTGAGCCAGGACCGATGCTAGGGAGCATTAATATTCTGCGGTTCAACTTTGTACGCACGCACGCGCACACACACATACAAGGGCTTTGATAAAACCGAAGCCATGATACCTCCACAAACATTAGCGATGATTTTGGGCAGCATCACCAATTCACAACATGCGATTCATTTCCCTTTGCCAGTGCAGGTGATTCATTGGAAATACTCCAACAGCTTAGAAAGAAAACGCCACTGCGAGCAGAGACACGAGAAGTGCACATGAGAAAAGTAGCGCCGCGCTGTTCCAGTGCTCAGAACCCATCATGAACAGCTCTAGGCGTATCTCCGGGTCCACTCAACAACAAGAGGGCTCACGCCGCCACAACCGCAAGGCTAGTAGCTTTCCCAAACTATGTGGACTGGCATCCAGAAAGAAGTGCTGACATCATGTCGAAAAAGAAAGAGAAAAAAAAGGCAAGACATGAGCTTCCATTAAAATGAAAGCAAAAGCCTGGGGAAAAAAATGAAATTTCCAAACTTCCAGGAAATTCTGGAAAAATGGGGCTCCTCAAAAAGTATCAGCGTACCGGACAGTCTGAGAATTTCTCAGTTTGTCCTCATAAATGTCTTCTTGCCTGATATTACGGGAAATTTTTGTTTGTTCTCTGTGGTGCCTGATGTCGTTCATTTCTTCAAACAGCTGTTAAGACAAAATCCCAGCAGAATGTCAGAACAGAAATTTTGGATCCAATTCGACCGGCTCATTTACAACAGGTTCAGTTACTCCTCTGACATACACAGGCAAGTAAACTACCTGCCACCTCAGGGCCGGATCATGAAATTCTTTTCCTTATTATAAATTCAGCCCACCTGAAAGAAAAGATTTGTTCTTAGAGCGGCTATTAGCTAAAAACTTTCCCCTCCCTTCTTCGCTTCGGGGATGGTTTTGTTGATCAGACGTAGAGGTAGGGCTTGGGACAGCCGGGGTCCTTGTGATGATCGTAGGGCTCGATCTGCCACTCCGTGTTGTGCATGATGAACTTGAGGAAGAGCCGGTAGACCGTGTGCCGAGCTTTTATCTCCACCGTCATCGCCAGGAAAAACGAGACGAAGAAGAGGACGCCGCAGGTGAGGGTAACCACCTCCTCCACGCTCAGCTGGGTCTTGGTCTGCGACACCTGGCCGTTGTCCGACAGGAAGCAGAGCACGGTGGCCACGGCACACGTCACCATGACAACCAGAGTCAGCAGGAAGATGGTGTGCAGGCATTTGTCACGGCGAGACACTCGCGGCAACCGCCAGTTGTGGAACTGGAGAGGGAGGGAGAGTGGAAAACACTGGAGTCAGCACAAACAATGACAAACACTTTGAGGAATGTACCACCTGCAGCAGATTTATTTTCTTTGTTCAAGATAAGAATTTTTTTTTTTTTAAAAGGTTTCCTACTTCACACTGGAAAGAAAAACTTTATCAATACACAACAAAAGCAACTCTTCAAATTATAGTTATAATCTACATTCATTTAGGTGTTACATCTGTCTTTTGTCGGTGGAAACTTGAAAATAAATAACATGTCACCCCCCCCCCCCCCCCCCCTCCAAAATTAACCATCAATGGCAATAAGAAATAGAGGGTTTCATGTCCGAAAATTGTCATCCTTAAAATGAAATTGTTCTACAACATATTCCACACATACAGAATTAGAAACCTCTTCCTCAAATTTTGTTTTTAAAAAATTCCCCCTAAGAATCCCAAGACCCACCTTGAAGCGTTTGTGGCGGATGTACGTGAAGTGGCAAAGCTCACAGCAAGGTGGCCTCTTGGTTTTTCGTGTTGAGATTTCAATCCATTTCTGAAAAACAAATTGAATGGTGAAATACTACTGTAAGAGACAAACAAACAAATCAAAGAAAGCGGTTCAAAAATATTTCCATTCCTATTTCAAATCCTTCAGACAAATGTTTTCAGCTCTGAACAAGTGACTTAACCAAGTTAGCAAGCACAGGTATACAACAACAAAAAGGTTATCAAATGCACATGCGTCCTTTCTATCTATTAAAAGAAGAATGGCATTCATTGGACAAACCCCTGCTTGCAACCTGACGCTCCCTGACACAGAACAAAGCTTCTCACACAAACAAGAAATGAGAAAAACAAAATTTCTGAACCGGCCTCTCCATGCGTGTGTGAGTGAATTCTTTTAGTCTTAGTTTTAGTAGAGGTCTTACGGCGCTCGCAACTACATAAGGTCATATGAGCGCCAGAAGATTAGAGGTGTTACAAGAGAGTAACAAACATAAAAAGAAGAAGGGGAATAAGGACAATAGATGTTTGATTGGAAAGAAGCAGCAAACCACACCAGGAGCACCCGCCAACCACCCACAGTGAATTCATGCTTCTCCGACCTCTAAAAGCACATTCCAATACAACAGATGTATATATTTGCCAGTTACAGTCAGGCACGGATAATTCAAACACGTCCAGATTGACAAATGTGAGGCACCGTGGTGAAATCAGGCGCTCGTGTAAGTATTCATTTTTTTAAAACGCATTGTCCCATCAGTTTGACAATTTTTATCAGAATTTTGTTTTTTGGCTCCACATCTTTTATCTCCACATAACATCATATTCCCATGTGAATTTTACCTGAAAACACTGATTAAAGTCACAAAATATGTATTTTTTCAGTTTTCAAAGACTATCAAGCTTTTGAAGCTACCAAACTTTGCCAACCATTTTGTTGCTAATTATACCACTGAAACCAGGCGTCACCCATCTCGTTCAAATACAAATATCTTGTCTTCTATTCGAGATAGAGGTGATTTTATCATTGAAAGCTAGGAAAATAAATAAGCTTTCAGATGACTCCAATAACTCTACATGCCCAAAAATTGATGAGCGCCCGATTCCACATCATCATCATGACACATCTAGAATTCAGGTAATCCAATATAGCGAAAAATTAAAGACACATCAGTCTGACAGGGAATGGCAAATTGTACAAGCTACCTATGATTTTGATTTTCCCATGTCCATGTATTATCGGTGCCCAACTGTGTTTCTCTAATGAGAGCAAATATCAAAAACTGACGACGAGTCACGGGTCTAAAATGTTCTGAGGGAAAATGTGCTGGGCAAGAGGCTCACCAGAAGGCAGGCGTAGTGTATGTATTTGAGGCTGCCCGAGCAGCGACACGGGGAGAAGAGAATGTCATCGTCGTCCCCCGGCAGCTGGCAGATGCGGCAAATGTTGAGCAGATCGGTGCCGGCATCCGAGTCTGGTGGCCGAAACTTCTTGTGGGGCCGCGGAGTCATACTAGCGCTGGTCGCACAGCTCAGCGCACTGCCATGGTGGAAACTACTGCAAAAACACAAAACGACACAGAATACACAATTACTCAAGGGGAACTCATAACAACACAATGTTCACACCACTTCCCCATCAATCTCCCCTTAAATGTTCAAACCACTTCCCCATTAATCCCCCCCCCCCTGCAAATGTTCACACCACTTCCCCATTAATCCCTCCCCTGCCCTAAATGTTCACATCATTTCCCCATTAATCCCTCCCCGGCCCTAAATGTTCACACCGCTTCCCAATAACAATACGGCCGGCTTGCTTATGTTCAAATGAACTGTTTCAGCCTATCGTGGGACATAAAGCATTGCAGTCTGATAAGCGCATACCACCATTATCTTTCACATATTTCTGGCAAAAACCTGTTGCCCAGTACCTGACTGTAGCCAAGAGTACTGAGGGAAATGGGAGAAGTACCTTTCCTTGTAAGTATACAACGTACTGTGCTACAATGTTGAGAATCCAACTCACAATTTCTTCATTGTGAGTCAAACATCTTACTGCTCTAGAGAACACCATTTAACACTTACAGTACTGAAGGCTCATATGGTGAAAAACCCTCAAGTACCACACCAGTTAAGAATACTGCTAACAAGGTCGAATTATTTTTTATTATTTTTAAAAAAACCCTCGGCAGCCCAAGAAACACGCTTTGAAAATACATAAAGGTTCATCAACCATTCAGCTATCATACTGAACGACTTCCTTTGCATTTACTTCAGTACCGTGCGTCCCATTTATTGTTTAATTATTACGTTTATTGTGCCTGTTTGCATCAGCGCCTCAAGTGTTGAAGCACTTGTGGGGGGCAAAAACCAAACAATTTCTTTTTTAACCCCCCATAAAAGAGTGGAGGAGATGCGTGGAAAGGGACATGAGAGAGATGAAGCTCACTTGGACTGAGCTTGAAAGGATGGCTCAGGACAGAGATAAATGGTAGGAGCTTGTATGTGGCCTATACCCTGCCAGGGGTGAAAGGCATTGATGATGAGGATAAAAGAGTATGAGTAGTTACTGCATATGCATGTCAAAGTTAATCCTGCAAATATTTACTAGCAAAGGAGCTATGTGACCGTCATTCCCCCAAGAAATAGCTGTCTCTGCATTTTACTCCCACTGAACGGGTCCGGGGATGAGTCATACAGTATTGTGGCACAGCTGCCAGGCCCATAATTCCGTTCCCAGCCAAAATCCTAGCATAGCCACAAGGAAAGTAGAGCAAATTATACGCCCACAGCACACGGGAGAATACCAGTCCATTATAATTAAAGCAAATTTCACCTCGTAGAGCAAGTTTCGCATTAAACATGGTGCTAAAACTGTCGGGCCACCATCGGGCTTGAAAATAAAACATGCCATTATATTGCTGAACTTTGAAAAAAAAAGATACTTTTGATCCTCCGTACAAGCAATGTTACACCTCATATTCTTTCTCATAGTCACATGACAATGAGCCAGTCTTTAGGCCAAAAAAAAAAAGGTTGTAACACCTGTTCTAGCTTATGACCTCAAAGTGGAAGATAACAACTGGACTGAATTTACTGGGAGACAAAACACAACATTTCTCAGCACTAAAAGGATAGTAAGTGTATGAGTTTAACGCCCCTGTCAACACTATTGCATATATGTAAGAGGCGGGACCTCCGAATTTAACGTCAGTCTCTGATAGGACAGAGCCAAACGGGCTGAGAGCTTTGAAAACTCAACAAAACAAACCAAGTTCAATAATGCCCAGTCTGGGATTCAAACTAGGGCCATCCGCTCTGCAGTCCAGCATGATACCAACTAATCTTACTGAGCCTCTATTAAGATGATAGTTCCCACCCAAAAAAAAACAACCAAAAAAAACCCAATAATTCTTAAAAACACACTCTGTTATCTATAACGCATTCCACCGAAGCACTATTATCTTTACAAAAACAGACAAATTTTAAGGAACTTAGAAAGTTGGATATTTAAAGAAAGTATTTTTTTAAACTGTTTCGAGTCCGTACCATGAGAGCTCACACGGTAACAAGATAAACTGAACATTGCCGATCCCAGAGCTTTATTTTCAAAGTGAATAGTGATATACTTGAGAATCGATGTGCATAAAACATTATCGACGCACACAACATTTTTTTAAACGTAATTTGCATTTTAATCTACTCCTTTAGTGAAAAATGAACAAAGAAAGTAACATAGTCTTGACAGTGGTCCTTCATTGCTTTGAAGAGGAAAAGTTAACAAACTGAAATTACCAGGGGGAAATGATTTGACAATCTGAACTACAAGTGGTCACATCTAAGCCCAGTTGGACACAAACAGGACATAAATATTTGTACAACTACAGATCTCAACTTCTGGAACAAGACCCACGGAGCTATCTTTGATCTAACGGGTGGAAAAACTGTCCAGGAACATCGTGCTTTCCTCCATTTGGAAAGAGGATCTGCGGAAAATTTCTGCAGAAATGATATGGGCCTTGACCTTGATTTTCCAAAGTCAAGAACTCTTATGCACAGAGCCACTGAGATTTTAGGAAAATACAAGTCACTGATATTACGGAAGTTGCACTCGCAAACTTCATAAGACAGCTCATGGACACGACTAATACCCCTAATACCCGGTTCAACAAAAAACAAATGTTGAGAATAAAAACTATTCTTGTAACCTTCTTTCAGTAAAAATAACCAGGAAAAAAAAAACCCTCCGAAAAATGGATTCCCTGACAGTTGTTTTTAGCTATGGTCAACCAGAGAGAGAGACACACACAGTAAGAAACAGGGATTCAGAGAAATAGGTATGTGGGCGTGCGCTCGCGTGTGTTTGTGTGTGTGTGGTTTTTGTTTTGTTTGTTTTTTGTTTGTTGATGTTGTTTTTTTGTTGTTGTTGTTTTTTGTTTTTTTTTGGGGGGGGTATTGCATTTCTGTGTTGGTCCTGCTGGATCTTTGTATCTTAAGAGAAATATA